CAATGAAATATGTGCAAAAAGGTCCTGCCTAACATGCTGACATTAGTCAAATGAACAGGTGGAAAAATGCGCCCCAACATAAGGTGGCCCATGAGTATATTATCATCTGGTCGAAAGCAAACCGACAGATTGAAGTACAAAAGGGGAGGCATTGAATTTATCAAGCGCACGTTTTCTGGCACGCAGTAAGCTTTTGCGGGATCGTTCAACAACGGAAAAGATGGGAAGGCGGGGACTGTAGTCCAAATAGGCTGTGGTCGATTTACAACGTCCACTGGCCAAGTGCCTGGCCATCTGATTGCCAATGATAGTGCGAAACCCACAATGACAACGTAATAGACCGTGGAACTCAATATCAGGAGGAGGATGTTTGTGTCTACAATGTCTGACTCGAGAAAATAAGGATCCACAGGGGTCATGAGGCGGAGGATTTGTCGTGGACTTTGCTTTCTGGTCCAAATGAATTGAACCAAGCAATGAGCTTACGCATCGTTCCCACGAGGTAAGTTGCTTGGATAGGTCCATGATATAGGAGGAAGAGGAAGGTACTGGCGGAGCGGAGTGTACATTACACCAGTGACAGTGGACGGCCATACTACATGACGAGGCGAAGCGACAACTGGGACAACGGACTGTTAGATTGAAATGACGACTGATCGGTTGTCGTAAACTTTCACCACATTCCAAACACTTTAGACTCATTCGAGGGGTGGATGTCCTTAGGTGATTTGAATAGTATAGACACAATTGATTAGATGAGAGGTGGTCGTCTGCAAAGGCCGTGTCAGTTGTAGGCGCACAATCTGTAGGTGTCGGTGAGGGATTAAATCCTTGATGCTGCAGATACTCATGCAGGCGTAAATCCCTCCGATGGGTGAAATCTAGCCGGCAGCAATCGCAGCGATAAGTAAGGTCGTCCCAATGTGACCGCATGTGATCATATAAACGGTGCGCTGAGAATACATCTGTATTGCTTAGTGAGTTTTTTTCTACTGTGGGTAACTCAAAGTACTTGAGACAATATGGGCAGAACAGCTGATTGGTGTTGTTGTGAGAGGTACTTAAATGTTGCATCAATTCGACATACCGAGAAGTGTGAAACGAGTGACATATGGAGCAAACATAAGGTGCATCACGAAAGACGTGCCGTTCGTATAGATGAACAGCGAATTTGAGTATGCTAGCGAAGCTCAATTCGCACGCTGGACAGACAAAAAGACCATTCAACAGAGTGGCCGGGCCATTGTCACGTAAGTGGGAATGTACACGTCGATGGTCACACATACTCTCACGTGTCTGGGGTGAGATGCATTCAGGGCAAAACTCGTATGGCCATAATGTGCCCAAATAGAGTTCATCGACCAGCAAATGTAGCGCAAGGTGTTGTAGCAATTTACTGTTTGAAAAATGCTGTGCACAAACAGGACAGACCACCAGGCCCTGGGAAGAGAGAAGTTCGAATTTTGGCTGCTCTGAGGTCGTAGCAGTTGTGCCAAAGTAATATGAAAGCCAAGGTACACGGACAGGCGAAGCAGGATGGAATCTAGACACGGCACGGGTTGTAGGAGGACTTTTGGAGCGCACGAGTGTTAAGCTACCTTGTAACTGTATGGGAACCGGAGCAGTAGTGGTCATGTAGATGGAAACCTAGTCCGCGTTTCAAGTCGCTTTGAATCCAGCCGCTCACCAACTGGAAGGAACAAAACAGGATAAACAGTTATGCGGGAAGGTTCGGATGAGGATATGAGCCCTACAGACTACGTAAGCAGTTCGGGATTGCGTGTTTTAAGCAG